CGGCGTCATGGGCGGAGTCGGCCGTGAGGTTGTCGTCGGCGCCGTTGAAGTCGTCGACGAAGTGGCCCAGGAGCACAAGGAGGAGCGCCCGCATGAGCATCTGGACGGCGTCGGCCGCCCTATTAAAGTTCCAGACGCTTGCGGCCGCCCCGAAGCACATGGCGTAGTGAAACCAGAGGGTCACGCCCTGGTCGGTGGGGAGGAACGTCCCGCAGTGACCAGGGAAGCGCACCGCCCACTGGCGGTAGGCGTTCTGAAGGTCATGGCCGAAAACCTTCGGGTCCCAACCCTCGCACCAGGCGGCCAGGATGAAGTCGACAATGTCGCCCAGGAAGTGGTGGGTGGGCACGTCCCCGGCGCTCATGGTGGCGTTGTGCCCTGACCGGCGCCAATCCTCGCCCCGGCGTGGTCCAGTCCACACTGGTCCACCAAAGGCGCGGTCTGGATACCCAGCCGAAATCGGACGGGCAGGCGAAGACCGGCTGGACCCCGAGCCCGTGGGATATCACCTTGGCGGCCGCCCGGTCCACGTCGACGTTCTCGTCAAGGCAGCCAAAGCGGTGCTTGGGGACCCTGGCGCGGAGCTCGTGCATGAACTCCACGGAGTCCTGGAAAAGCCTGCCCCTGTCGCCCTGATGACCTTCTCCCTGGCCTATCCGGGAGAAGTCCTGGCACGGCGGCGCCGCGCACCAGACGATCAGGGCGAGGGCGTCGGGGTCGGCGTCCATGACGAGGTCGGCCACGTCCCCTGGCGAGTCCCGGATAAGGTCGCCTCTGTGTTCCACCCAGGGCATGGCCTTCTGCACCAGCGCCTTGCATGCCCGGTCGACCTCCCAGGAGACGGCGAGCAAAGGCCGTCCGAAGGCCTTGGCGACCAGCCAGTGAGAGGCGCCGATGCCGTCGAAGGCGGAAAGGACGATGATGGACCGCCCTTCCGGGCGGTTGGGCCTCAGCTTGGCCCGTTTGGCGGGCGTCGGGTCGGGTACCGACGCAGCCGCGGCGACGTCGGCCCCGTGCTGTCCCTATAAGGCGTTGGCGCGCTTCTTTTCGCCCTTGCCGCCCTGGTCGCGGCCTGGCGAATCCCAGTCGTAACCGGAGCTCCAGGACGATGACGCCCACCAGGAGTCGTCCCAGGTCTGGTCACGGCGTTGCTCATCCTGACGACGTTGGCGTTC